ACTTTCTGTATTATTTTTATTTTCTCTTTAATAATTATATACCTAAAATTATTTTTAGTAGTATTTTTCCCTATAGTGGCACTAGTATAAAAAGGTTTTCTCATAGCAACTCATAAACATTAAAAATTATTAAAAATGACATTTGGCAACGTTTCATTAATTGTTGAATTGTGAAGGCAATACCCATACTGCTAGCATCGAATTTTTCCAATAGAACAAGGAGGGATTCATAAAATAACACAATTATATAAAGTTTTAAAAACAATTATACAAATTGTTATTTATCAAAATTTTATTTACAAATTGCTAATACGATGTGATAGTCGAAATATTATATAATATATTTTAGAAATAGTTATAGAAATTTTTATTTATAAAAAATTTATTTACAAATTGCTAATAATAGTCAAATTAACTATTATATTTTGCTATCTGTCATTTGTTAGTACCAGCTATTTGTTATAATTTGGCAGCCAAATACATTATATTATATCCGTTGAAAGGTAATCGCCTGACACGGTATAAGGTTTATAAACCTTTCATTTTACATTCTAAATATTCCTCATAATCAAAACTCTATTCTTACTCCTAATATTACAAACCCTTCAATAATCAATCTAATCGATTTAATCAATATTACAAAACTCATATTTCTACTTTATTTTTACATCAATTTAATTAAAAAACAACAAAAACAATACACAAAAAATAATAAAAAATTTGGTGGCATGTGGAGAAGTTTGAGGATGTAAACCTAGTTTACAAAAGTAAACCTCAAACCTCCATATTTTAGTTGTAAACACTCAAAAGTGATTTTATAAACCTCATCAAAAACTTATACTAAAGATGCACTAATAATAAGATTTTTTATACGAATAATACAAGTCACAAATACAAACGCCCTTGTATTACATGCGTTTTTATATGGGTGGAATGTATAAGAAAAAAATTATATATTAAAGTAGGCAAGGGCTCAGTATAAAAAATGTACAATCTTCTATATATTTTGGGCTTTTCTTTATGGGTAAGATTGAATAAATTTAACGGATAGTTATGATTGTAGTCTGTTAATCAGTAACTTTTATGTTTCTTAAGTGTGACATTAGAGTTGAGCTAAATTGTAGAATTAATGCTTAAGAAAATCACCTGGAAGCACAAACAAGATCTAACTTCATGAATTCCATTTCCATACAAAGGACTAGGATCAGGCTTTTTATCCCCATATCTACTACATTCCTCATTTCTATCTTTTGTACATCAATTTTTTGGGTTGGCCCATTTAGCGTCTGGGCCATATTATCCATGTTCTTTATCGGGGAATTAAGTACACTCTATATCTTTTTTAAATTACATCTTTCAATATTGACACACTTTTGATTTATTCCTATAATGGTCATTTTATTCCCATTTATTATGCTCTTTAATTCCAATGTCAGACACTTCAAGTTTCGCGCCTATTTATTTTCTTTTTCTCGATTTGTTTTTTTTATTTAGCTTCTGTTTTCACCTTCGCTTCTTTCTCAGTTGCTGTTCAGTTTTTTCTCAAACATATATATAATGTTTATCCTCTTTAATGCTTTCTCTGTTGTTATTCTTTTTAAAAAAAAAATATTTTATTTGACAGTTAATAGAGTAATTCAATTCAAATCCATTCATGGGGGAAATGACATACATAACCGTCCCATTCATGAATGTAACTTCTATTTTTTCAAAAAAAAAAAAAAACTGATTTAAAATTTAAAACTTTTTATTTAGAGCCTTTTTTTTATTTATACTGGTAGTTATACCTAGAATGAGATTAATCTGCACATTTTTGGAATTCTTTGTCAACCATTTCATTAATGGTATTTTTTTTTCAATAATGGGAGGTTATGTCCTTTCCCCTCGGTCGGGCCTACACCCTCTCGCGCCGAGAACCCAAAGCTGAAGATAAGAGACCACACGCCGGCCCTTAGACTCCACGCCAATCTCTATTCAGTCTGAATGTCGATCCACCAACTGACGAGTAATGTCGATCTCTCGATCCAATGTGAGCAAAAACTAGAAAAGCGACCCTCCAATAAATTCTATCATCAAAAGCAACACCGACACGTATTATCATGCATGCGACGTTCCCAACACATATTCGCCTCTCACGTCCTTAGTTAACATTCGACAATCATTGCATTTTAACTTTATTTTTGTATATATCCGCATTAAATATGTTCAAACGACATCGCATTCGATACACACAAACAAATATATACTCTTACACTCAATTAATACACGTTACCGATCTCATGTTCTTCGGCGATCTCTCTTAATCTTGATTTTCGCTTATTTTCATGTTCTTTTAGCGTCAATTATGATAGATTCATTAAAATACTAATTTTTAAGGAAAAACATTAGGTCTGGATCCATGTCTTAAAATACTAACTTTTATACAAAAGATCTAAATTTTTATAGGGGATTGTTATTTGTTACCCCAAAATTACTATAAGTTGCCCTCCAAAAAAAAAAAAAAAAAAA